ACTGTACTTCTAAAAACAATAACTGATATGATTTTGATCGATTGGACTTATGAAATCTGTACACACTTGTGACCGACGTTGGAACCCAAAATTTCTTATCTATTGACTGGACTTAAGCTCCTCCGCTCTGCTCCGGAAATAATATCCAAATTTTTACAGGTTACTATAAATACTGTTTTTAGAGATCATTACATGATTTAATTACAATTTTCAATTACAGTAATAAGTAAAATTCAAACCACCAATGAAGTGATATATTAAATAAATGCTCATGGATTTATTGGTTTATTTTAAATATCTTAATAACATTATTTTTTAAGAATTCAAATTAATTTGACTAACAATAAAATCTTTCAAAATAAAATTTACTGTAAATAAAGGATGAATTGTCAGTTGGGTTGTTAATGGGGTTGGGTTGGGTTGATTCGATAGTGGTCGCAGGCATATATAAAAAAGAAAAATATTGTTTATACCGGTGGTTATTAATATCCACCCCTATTTTTATTATATTTTTATATTAAAATTTAGGGTTAGTGCAATTATATACTAAAATAGGGTCAGATATTAGGGTTAGGGGTCAGGTATAAAGACCAAATTTTAGGTTACACGAGGATTTTTGGGGTTCTGAACATTTTTTACTTAGTACACCTGACCCCTGTTTCTTAGTCAATTTTTTGAGATATAGCACCCCGGATATCATTATCCCTGGTATAAATTATAAAAAATTAATAATAATTACGCCCACCTACACTAACCGTTTACCATAATGAACATTAAATAGTATGGGCAGTAAGACTTATATACTTCATAGTAATAGAAAAGATTAAATATGTATCTTAATACATATTCACGAATCTTGTAGTAAATAAAATATACAGTATATTCTATCACTTGGGATGACGATTCTCATTTAGTCGAGAACTCATTATAATTTTTTGTTCTTTTTGTCTACATGTCTATCATCCTCATCGATGTCCGACTCCTCGTCCTCGAATAGATGTTTTTTGTTCGATTCTTCGTGATTGTTTTGAATTTGTCTTGGTTCCTCGTCAATAAAATTATTATCTAAATTATTTTCTTCCATACAATTCCCTTCTGGAGCATTTTCGCGAAAACTATTTTCTTCATAATTTCCTTCTTCACGAAGATTTTCATTATGGTCAAATTCCAAAGATTCGTCGTATTGTATTTTTTCACGTAATTTTTTATCAATATTATTTAAATTTTCTGAAGATTGTATTTTTTCACGTAATTTTTTATTAATTTTGTTTAAGTTTTCTGGATAAATAAAATTTGAAGGGAGATCACCTTGCCAATTTTTATTATATACCCAGAAAGAATTTTCTTTGTCATTAACGTCACATATGACACCTCCTAATATATGTGACATGTCAACTTTGATTTTTAAGTAGACTTCCTCATCCTCATCTTTATATAGATCATCAATTTCGTCATCGTAAACATATTTTTTTGCTTCCTCCAATGTAATACCTTCGACAAATTTGATATCAAAGTTTCCATGAATAAATTCATTTAAATCACCTGGGTTATTAAGTTCATCAGATTCAATAATAAATTTTACACGTCCATCTCTTTCATATCTTCCTTCAAGTTTAATTATGTATCCATGCGTATATGCTCGAGCTTTTGTGAATCTTCTAAAAATAGCAATCCGTTTTTCTTTGCTTTTAACAGGCTCATCTTTACTTTTAACGCCATCTTTGCATTTTTCAAAACAAAATATATTGTCAAAAGAATCTTGAGCTGTAAACAAGTGAAACTTTGAAACTATTCCAATAGGCATTTTATTCCTTTGTTTAATTGCTAGGTTATCTTTTTCACAACAACTCAATAAATCCTCGAAATTAAATGTGTCATGAGTTAATTCGTCTTTAATAATACATACTTGATTCTGATACTCATCAATATATTCACGATCTTTAGCTTTAATACAATGTGGACGACCTTTACTTAATGCAACGGCTAATTTTTCCATTAAAGTTGATTTTCCAGGTCCAGAATCACCATAAAAGAAAAAATTTTTTGGATAATGTTTTTTTTCAGGAATGTGTTTAGTCTTATTTTTTGATTTTTCTTCTTCAAGATTTTTCAACGTTTTTAAACTATTAATCCACCCTCGAGGTAAAAGTTCGGCAGACTTGTCTATCACTTGATTAAAGGGGATACTATACGTAATTATATTATTAACACGTTTCATATCGTCCAATTTCATTTCAATAATTTTCTCACATTCTTTATTTTTATTTGAACCTTCAAGACATTTCCATTTACCGAATTCAAAAGGTCCAACAATTTCTGGAGAACCCTTACAGCGTGCTAGAGTTCTACTTAAACAACATTTATCATCACAATGTTCATTATGATGCAATTTGCATCGATTATATATTTTTTTTGCATATTCCTGATTAGAAGAGGAATCATCTTTTGCACTTTCTTTAGAAAAAAAGATTTCATCATCCTTAAATAGTTTTTTAACCGAAGTAATAGTCATTTTTATATTAAAAATTAAATGCGCCTGATTATATACCCTTCCTCCTTCTGTTATTTCAAACTGATGAATTATGTAGACTAATCTTGGATACTTTTCGAATTCTTCTTGCGTTCGTGGAATTGAATACTTTTCGAATTCTTCTTGCGTTCGTGGAATTGAATACTTTTCGAATTCTTCTTGCGTTCGTGGAATTGAATACTTTTCGAATTCTTCTTGCGTTCGTGGAAATGTATATTCACATTCAATTCCAAGTTTTTTGCAGTAATCACATTTTCCCGGACTGTTACATTTAAACTTTTCACAGCAATTTGAACAACTAAAGTTTTTACAACGAATATGTTTATTTTTACAGAGGTTGCAAAATGGCATTTCACCCGTCTTCTGAAATTCGTCCTCGAGTTCTTTTCGTTGCTTCTCTGGTATTTTTTGAGTACATTTAAACTTCTCTTTACATTGCCTACAATGATAGCTTCTAGCAAGAATCTGTCGAAATTCGAATGATTTTGTCATCAATGTAAACGATATTCGTAATAGTTAGGGTCAAGATTCAAATGATTTTTTTTTCATTCGTTTCTTTTTTAAAAATTAATATTTGGAAGATAAATGCAATATAATGACAAGTCAGAGAACAACCCCTTTATTTATAAATTTTGCTTTATAAAATTTAATGTATTACCGTTAACTATTTTAGAAACAATGAATATATTTCGATGTGATTTTTGTAAAGTTCGACACTAATTAAAAAAGCTCGACACTAATCAATATCACATGGTCAATTTCCGCATTACGGCCGAACAAAAAACTCGACAATAATTGAAAAAAACTCGACACTAATAACAAATATTAAACAAAAAAGGAAGGAGGATCTACAGATTTGACTCTGTAGATGCATAATTTCAGTCAACCTCTTAACGCCTTCTATTTTATCACATAAAAAACTGCTCGACAGGATATGTTGAGTTTGGTCTTATTTTTTAAGCTTCTGCGGTGTAAATTTTTAAAATTTTTTTTTTTTTTTGCATTCCCGTCTACTCAATTCCTTCATTTATGTTTACTAACTTTTAATACAT